CACACTCTCGGGACAGGGTCTTCCGGGCTCCTTGGAGATTGGGGCGGAGAACCTGAGCCCGGAACTGCTGAGCAGGGGCCTGGCAAGGACTCGTGAGCCTGCTCTGTGTCACGCGGGTCACAGAGTCTAGGGCGGCCCTGCAGACTGGGCTCTGCACTCTGAGATGGTATTCCTTTCAGAAAAGGTGGTTTGAGGTACTCCCTGGGCAAAAAGGGGGCCCTGATGACAGAGTGGGTGACGCATTGGGTTGCTAACCACAAGGTCAGCAGTTCAAACCCACCAGCTGCTCCAAGGGAGCAAAACGAGGCTTTCTTTTCCCACAAAGATTCATAGCCTTGGAACCCACCAAAGCAGTTCTACTCTGTCCCGGAGGGTTACCATGAGTCAGAATTTCCTCGACGGCAGGGAGTTCAGAGCGCTGGAGTCTTGACAAAAACCCCTTGTTGTTTGAGATGCTTCATGCTGGTGGACTGGAAGAGGCGCCCCCCTGCATAGCCCATCCCTACCAGACCCCTCCTCCAGACAGAGCAGCGTGACCCCGGCCAAGGAACCTGGTGCCACGAGGGAACCCGGCCTGCTCCCATGGGCCCATGGCGCTCTCGTCTTCCCCCAGGGTTGGAGTCCCGATTTAGGAGCAAGTCGAGCTACTTGAGGTACAGCTGCGGGAGCCGAATCCGGAGTTACCTGAGAGAGGTGAGTCCAGGTGGAGGAGGGGGATGCTGGGTAGCTGGGGAGGCTGCTGGGCCACGGGTGGGGGAGGAAGGTGCTGGTGCATGTCCAGAGTAACTCAGGTGGCTCTGATTAGACAAGCCAGCGCCCTGCCTGCCTGCTCACCCTGCAGAAGCACGGGCATCACAGTGTCACAGCGTCCCTTCGGACCTCCTTGACTGGAGTTGCCTATCCCAGAGATTTCCAGAATGTTCCCTCCCCCACGTCCATGTGGACGCAGCCCTCTCGTTGGTTTGCGAATGGAGCCGACTGTTGGATGCCTGCCTTCATCGAGCAGGCAGTTCTGTTCTACGGTGAACGGCCCCCACCAACCACTGCACTGGCTGCCCTCAGCCTCCTAGTGACGCCTGCCTGGTTGGCCACTCTCCCAGAGCAGCAGACCTCTGGGTACCGTGAACCCTTGGGCAAAGCAGACTCTTTGGTACAGCAGACTGACCCCCTGGGTATACAAATCCTTGGGCACACTGGCTTAGCAGACTGGTGGGTACAGTATACCTCTGGGCACAGCAGAATGACCCTGTGGGCACAGTGACCCCTGGGTATGGTGACCCCTTGTTGTAGCATATCGCCTGGGCACAGAGGGCCCTGGCATATGGACCCCCAGACACAGTGCCTCCCTGCTCACACGGCACCGGCTAGGTGAGGATGTGTGGGTGTGTTGGAAGAGGCAGAATCCAGGACTGCAGGCCCTGGGGCATCCCAAAGCTGTGCTCAGCGGGCTCCTGGGCTTCTCAGGCGTCGTCGTATGCCTCGGAGGTGGATGCTGAGACCCGGGAGGAGTACATGCGGATACTCGGCCACATGGGCCAGAAGCTGAAGTCCATGCAGTACCACGGCAGCTACTTTGACAGAGGGGCCCAGGCAGATGGCCGCCTCTGCACACCCGAGGGCTGGTTCTCCTGCCAGGTGAGTGTGGCCTCGGGCTGCCTGCGTGCCATGAGCCAGTAGGGTGCGGGTGGGAGTTCCTCTAAGACTCTGTCTTGCCTTCTGTGTGCACTGGCGAACGTACACCACCGGGCCCACCCTGGTTCTGTCTCAGGAGGGCTGGGCGGGGCTTGAGGATCTGCATAGGGAACCAGTTTGTCACAAGGAGACGTGGCCTGGCTGGGGCGGGCTCCGCTCATCTCCATTCATCTGGTGGGCTGGCCAGAGGATGACCCCAGGGGAAAACGTCTGGAAAACGTTTTTTAAATTTTTTTATGTGTGTTTCTCTCTGCCCGGGGTAAGATGTTTAGATAGTACAGCACCAGGCATCTCAGGGTCTGAAGCTGTTCTTTGCTGCTCAGGGAGCCGCCCCTTCCCCCCATCCCCCAGTTCCATACCAAGTACCATTTCAAACAGGTGTCGCCACTCTGATGGGCTCGGGTGACCTTTGCGTCTGTTTCAGAGGACCTCGAAGTCCACTGACCTGTGAGAGTAACAGCGATGCCCTTGTCGTTTGCAGACTGCAGAGTGCCTTCCAGGCAAGCGGCAGGTGGGCAGGCGGGCGGGCGGGTGGGTAAGCTCCACAGAGGTTAGGGAACAGAGGGGGTGCTGAGTGACTCAGAAGACCGGCAGGGCAGTCTAAACGCTGAGCATCTCCAATGCCCCGGCCTCTGGGCTAGGCCTTCAATGAAAGTGTTGGAAGGCATGTGGGACGGGCGGCCAGGTGCCCGCTCATGTTGTTGTTAAGACCCATGGCGACCCTCTGCACACCAGACCCAAACACTGCCTGGTCCCGCGCCATTCTCACAGTCGTCCCTTGGCCTGAGCCCATGGTTGCGGCCATGGTGTCCAGCTCACTGAGGGTCTTTCTCTTTCTGATTGCCCCTCCGCTGTCCCAAGCACGAGGTCCTTCTCCAGGGACTGGCCTCTCCTGACCACACGTCCAAAGAATGTGAGGCGAAGTCTGGCCATCCTGGCCTCTCAGGAGCACCCGGCTGGACTTGTTCTAAGACAGATAGGTTTCCCATTCGTAGCCACCCTAGAAGACAGAGTAGAACTGCCCCTTTGGGTTTCTAAGACTTCAGATCTTTATAGCCTCATTTTTCTAATTCAGCATGGCTGGTGAGTTCGAACCACTGATCTTATGGTTAGCAGCGCAATTTGTAGCCTACCATGCCATTGGGGTAGTGAGGACACAAACAAGGGGCCCGACACTAAAGGCAGAATTGTCTCTAACTTCTCCATGGGACATACTGCCCAGGAAAGTCTTCTGTGTGACTCCCTGCCTCTGTGAGGGTGGACTCCCTGGGTGGTTGCCACAGTCATTACATTTGCCCACTGACTGAGAGTTGACACTTTAAGGCCCCTGGGAAGGTAGGCCTGGTGATCTACCATGGAGAACCAGGCATTGGAAACCCTTTGGAGCATAGTTCTGCTCTGACACACGTGGGGCCACCATGGCCCCATAGCAGTTAGTCTTGGTAATGTGATGGCAGGGGTCAGCGGGCAGCAGACTCATCCTGTGGCCTTCTCCTTGTCCCCTCGGGCACCCAGGGACCTTTTGACATGGATGACTGTTTGTCCAAACACTCCATCAACCCCTACAGCAACCGGGAGAGCAGGATTCTCTTCAGCACCTGGAACCTGGATCACGTGTGAGTAGACATCCGAGGGAGCTTCCGGAGGCCCTGTGGCTCATTACACGGACCCTCGCTCTTCCCAGCAGTCAGCCGGCGTGACATCTGTCGGGGGGCTCTGAGTGGTTCCCTTTGAACTGCAGAGGGCTCAGTAGGCGGGGCGGGGATGGGGTGGGGTTGGATCCCTGCCCACATCTGGGTGTCCCAAGCACACTGCCTGTGATCCCCAGCTGTGCGTGCAGTGGGCATCGTGGAGCTGCTGGCAGGGTGGCATGGGCAGGGGCCTGGCACTGCTCCAGGCCCCTGGTCGGGGCTCATGGCAACGTGCCTGTGTGCTGGGCACTTGTGTCTTGCGTAAATCAGGATGGGCCTGGTGAACAGTGGCTCCCCATTGTCCTAGCGTGTGGAGCTCTTGTTTAAACAGGATGAGCAACACTCTTGGCTAGCAGGGCTGCTTTGGATATCTACATTAGTTCGGTGACAGCTGCATCCAAAAAACAGGGCAGGAGTGGACAATGCCATTGTTTTCAATGGAGACTTTTTCCCGGCCTACAGTTGTTCCATCACCCCGGCTTTCTGAAGACAAAGAAAGAGCTTCAACCATTTGGTACAATGGCTACATTACTTTTTGGATTTCTATGTGTGTGAAACACTGTCAACGTGGGAGTGAGAGAGTCAAAGTCCCCCTTTTCCTGCCCCCCTGTCCCCAGTCCCCCCTTCTTGCTGCTCCCCATCTCCCTGCCCCGCTCCCCCCGCCCCCCCAGCCCTTTGAAGCCTTGTTCTTGGCTGTGTCTGTCTGTGTTCAGATCCTACACAGACATTGGTGTCTTGCTCCGTGGGTGCAGGTGGGAGATTTGGCCCTTCTTTTCAATAGGGGCGGACGACTTCAGTTTTGAACATACTGTAATGTTAACCGCCACTGGGACAGGTTCTTCCTAGTTTTTCACAGGTAGGCACAGCCCCGAAACGAACACCCCGTCTGTCTCCTGGTTCCAGGTGTTCCAAGTGTGGTCTGTGGACCAGATTCAGTATCATCCGGGAGTCTGTAAGGCAGGCAGATAGATTCTTAGGCCCTGTGCCAGTCCTGCTTTGTCACAATCAGCACCGGATCCAACCGGCCTGGGAGCCACCATCCAGGTGCAAGCTCAGGTGTGTGGAGCACAGGGAACATTCTAGACCTGGAGGGCAGCCCATCTCTGCCTTTCCTAGCCGTTCCCAGGTTCTCGTGTGCGTCCTCACCAGCTGGGGGGTGGGGTGGTGGTGGTGCGTGCGTGCGTGCGTGCGTGTGTGTGTGTGTGACATTGCCCCATGTCCTGCCAGCGCTTGGTGACATGCTTTTTGCATTTTCCTCATCTGAATGGAGAGAAACTTAAGTGACCTGCTTTCATTTTCCTGATGCTTAGGCATGCCGAGTAAGGAGCCCTGGTGGCTGCGGTGTTTCCTATTGGATTGCTAACTACAAGGTCAGCAGTTCAAGCTGCTCTAAGAGAGGAAGATAGGCTTCTGCTCTTGTAGAGTTACATCACAGAAACTCACAGGGGCAGTCCTGTCCTGTTCTGTGGGATTGCTGTGCGTTGGAATCCACGTAATGGCAGTGAGCTTGGTTTGGGTTTGGAGGAACGTCGGGTATCCTCATTTCTATTGGCCGTTTGCGTCTTCTATGAACTGGCTGCTGTTTTCCTTTCCCGTTGCTTATTGGGTTTTCTTATCTATTTTGTGGGGTCCTTTACATAAAGTGCTGGAGAAAGATGAGGCTGTCTGCTCCTGCAAAGGTTTACAGAGCCGGAAGTCCCAAAGAGCAGCTCTACCCTGTCGTCGGAGAGGGTCTGCGGTGAGTCGAAATTGACTCGGTTGGCACTCAGTTTGGCTCTTAGGTACAGATTATCCTGTGTTTGAGTTTTTGCTGGCGGTTTGCGTGACAGGCGCCTATTCTTAGTCTTGGGCTCGTCTTACTTCTGTGCTGTCTTGTATCACGACCAGTTTGACCCTGGTCGTTTGAATGCACTTAGCTGCACGTTTTCCAAAGCATGGATTCGTTAGTCCTTCCCGCCCAATGATCATGGAGTCCTCTAAGATGAAATTTACGTTTTCCCCTGTAGGTGTGTAATCCCTGTGGATGTGGAGTATAGGTGGAGGGCTGCAGGCTAATTGAATTCTTTTCCACAGGCTTAGTCCCTCCACAGAATAGGGGGTACAGGGGTCACCTGTTCTGTCCCTGGCAGTTTTGACGGGAGTCTCCTGACAAGCACCAGTCTGTTCTGTTGCTTTTCCTGACCCACGGGAGGGGCGATACTGGTCTACCAGATAGCACCGGCTTTTAGCAAACGAAACTGGCTGGGCTGCGCTAGAATGTTTGTGGCAGAATACGCAGCAGGAGTGGGCACTGTTCCCTGAGCTTCCGTTTCCCTCACTTATCCCTTCTCTCTCGGTCCAGGGACTCACACACACAGGTACGCCAACTGGGTTTTGATGAAGAATGCCATTTTTTTTACTGTGCGTCTTTAAAATAGTTGGCAAAATAGCCAACTGTTTTCCCTGGGCCTCAGGCCTAGCCCTCTCAGTGGTGGGGCCTTGAGCCCACACAGTGCATGCTCCCACGCGTGAGCGTTACCCTCCAGCTCACAAACTGTGAAGGAGAATATAGTCCACCCTCCTACTTTGACAAACACGTCCTCATGGCCTGGGGGGTCAGGTTCACCTTCAGAATTGGCTGAGACTCGGAGTTCAGCCCCCAAGCATGGCAGTGCCCGGGGAACTGGCCCTGGTGTCCAGCCTCGGCCTCTTCTCACCCCGCGGTCCCCTCACACCACCAGGGCCTGAGTTCTGGCTGCACCCCTCCCCGCTTGGGCCTGGGGGTGTGCACACTGGGGTGCTGTCTGTCTTCCGAGGGTAGGCAGGTGGGAGGCCTGTCGGTGTTTGGGCAGCACCTGGAGCAGGTGAGCTGAGTGAGGCTGGGGTGTGGACGTGGGCTCTGGTGGGCATGGCTTCTGGGTCCTAAAGAATCCTCTTCCTGGGGATGGGATGTAGCCTGCGGCCTCTTTCCCACGCTTGTGGGCACTACGTGCTGTCAGACTTCGCGAGTGTTGTGCTAAGTCTTGTTATCCGGTCCTGCTGATTTCCCCTCCTCTTCAAAATTATCTTTGTCCCTTTTCGGTCCTTTAATTAACATCATTAATCTTGTCTTCTATTTCTTATTTAATTACTTTTTGTCCTCTGTGGGATATAAAAACACATTTACTCAGCTTTGTCTCCCCCAAAGATATGCCAAACATTAGAAGCTATTTGTCAGCACATGGTAGGAGGTCAGATGCTTAGAGATATTCTCCACAAAGGTAGTCAGTTGCCAGACTACTGTCTGGTCCACTGTAGGTGGGGCTCACACCCTACTGATAAGGATAGTAATGGTTTCCGTGGAGAGCCAGAGAACAGGTCAAACCTGCTCAGTGACATCCAAAGTTAGGCTGCCACCCTGAATCTAGGATCCACCCATCTTGTCACATGTATACCCCCAATCCCTCCCCTTCCTCTTGCATGTATATCCCTCATTAAGGTGACCAGATTTAAAGTGGGACACCATTGACCGGGGGTGGGGTGGGGGTGGGTGGTTCTTGATTAAAAATTTGGTCTATATGGACCAAATACACCGTTCCCTAGCTTGTCATGCATTCTTTCCAAAAATCGGGACTGTCCCGCCAAACGTGGGACGTCTAGTCACCTTAGATCTCCCCCTCTTATTACTGCATTACGTATAGTATAACCCCTTCCTGTGTCATGTTTTTATCTGTAATTAGGGGGTTTGCAGGCCCCCAAAAGATATCTAAGCCAAAAAAAAAAAGATATCTAAGCCTTGGTTAGAAATAAATCACTCCCTCTCTCCCCTGTGCCCTTTCCCCATCCTCCTTCTCTGCTCCCTCTCCCCTGCCTTTCCCACCTTCCCCATCCCCACATGGACCACCAAGGGGGGTTGAGGCGAGCATGCTACCATGAAATGTGTCTGACTCCTTTCTTTCACTCTCTCTTCTACCTCTCTTATTCTCTATGCCTTTACTATAATCTTCACCTATTGTCGCTGTCAAACTGCGCCTGCCGGGCCTGTGATGATTTGTTAGGTGCTGGCTCCCCTGACAGTTCTCCTGTGTGCTAACGTGTAGTTAAGACCATAAAGGAGGGCTTCAAAAATGTGGCAAAATTCCATTATGTTTTAATTTGATTTCTCCAGGAATTTTTTGAAGCCCCCTTCCCCATCAGTGGTGTCACTAGGTGGCTTCGGGAGGGTGAAGACCACTGTGTGACATTGTCAGCAGGGGTGACCACCCCCCCAACAAACGTTTAGCTCAGTGTTTCAGCTGAAGTGTATTACTTAAAAAGCAAACATAGAAACGATATGTCCCTATAGTTTATAACAACAAAACATTTTTCAAAAGCTCAGCTTACACATAACAATACACCTACTTAGCTAAAACTCTAATTTACTATTTGGACCTGATGCCTTCCGGCTAGAGCTCTCTGTGAAGGTGAAGGCAATGGCCCTTCAGGTCGGGAGGACTGTCTGCCCGCCGCCCGGCTGCCGGTCTTGCTGCTGCTCAGGCGAGGAGAGGGGCCAGGAACGTTGCACTGAGGCAGTTAGTTTTCCAGCATGACAGGCACCCGCCTGCTTCTTCTTCCAGAGATGCCAAGATTATTTTACAAGAATTTCATTGGAAAATCTTATCCCATCTACCCTACAGCCTGGACCTAATCTCATCAGACTCCTTTTTGTTCCCAGAATTCAAAGAGCATCATTTTCGTTCCTGAAGGATGCCTAGCCTGCCCTTCCTGGCATAAACGGAAGAGGGCAGACTTTTCCAGGGAGGGTTGCCTTCACTGGTGTATAGACCTGGGTGGAAGGGATGTCAAGAAATGCCGGCTTTCATGTTTCCGCACTTTTGTTCAATACTGGTTTCTATGATTCTGTAGTCAGACTTTTTGGGCCGCCTTTGTATGGGAATATAAAGGCATACGGTGAGGAGAGAACTGGGATGAAGGGTGGTTATTGGAGCCGATTTAATTTTCCACTGAAAACATTCTTTCCACATAATTATTTTCTAAATGTACTCACAGATGATAGTGCAGAGGCAAAGGAACCAAACTGTTGACGACAGTTCCTGCTAATAGAATGTGGGTGACTACCATTTTTGTCCCTGTGCACTATGCCGTTTTTTGACCTACCAACTTAAAAAGCAGAATATGCATAGTTGTTTACATCGGTCTTGGCTAGACAGGTCATACAATTACCGTCTTGGAAACCCACAGGGGCAGTGCGACCCTGCCCTAGGGTCGCTGAGTCAGCATCGGCTCAATGGCAGAGTTTGGTTTTGGGTTTCTTGTGAGCCTAGTGAAGGGGCGAGTTTGTGAGGACATGCCCCTGCAGGAGTACTGGGGGCAGCTGGCTGTTCATACAGAGGCTCCCTGCCATCCTAGCCCTCCTGGGATGTGGGATGTCCCCAGGGGTTATAGCGCAAGGGGTGGGATCACCTCACAGAAAACCATTTGGCCTTTGGTTTTGGTTCTGGAAAACCAGACCACACCTGAGGCAATGAAGGGGTGGGGGCAGGGTTGGAAGCATCTGGAGCAGTGGTTCTCAACCTTCCTAATGCCGTGACCCTTTCATACAGCTCCTCATGTGGTGGTGACCCCCCCAACCATAACATGATTTCCGTTGCTACTTCATCACTGTCATTTTGCTATTGTGACGAATCGGTGACTCCTGTGAAAGGGTCGTTTGACCCCCAAAGGGGTTGCAACCCACAGGTTGAGAACCGCTGACCTAGAGGGATCCGCCGGGGGCTGGTGCCCATTCAGTCTCAGGAAACATCTTTCGGTAGCCATGTGGGAAGGCCAGTAAAAAACAGAGAGGCTCAGGTGTGTGGTGAGAGGGTAGCCACTCCCTCTCGGGAAGCTCTGTGGAAACTGCGCTGGGATCCCCCCCAGACCCCCCACTCAGTGTGTCTCTGCACTTGCATTCATTTTGTTATTGGAGCTGACGGTGCCTCATGGGGGCCTGTTTGCAAATGTGTGCGGCGTTCCAGGGAATTCTCCGACCCCACGGAGCAGACTGAGCTGGCTGGGCCGAAGTGGAGGGAGTCGGATAGACTCCTGGACTTGTGGCCTGTACCGAGGGGCAGAGGAACACCCCGTTTGGGGTCAGCTGGTTTGTAGCGGGGCAGCTGAGTGGACCCTTGAGCTTGCGGCCAGTTCCTGTGATGCAGCGCTGGCTGGCAAGGGGGCAGGGAGGCAGCTGGCATGTGGCATGGGATTTGCTCACCACCCTCAGCCTGGCACCTGCCAGGGGTGAGCGCCATCCCGCCAGCTGCCCGAGGCCACACTTTGTTCCTTTGAGCTCCTGTTTTCTGCTGGTCCTTTCCAACCAAAGCGACCGGAGGCTGTTTTGTGTTGTCACAAGAAACAGCTGCGTGGATGGCACCTCTTTAAATGCCTGTGGTGCCATAGGGAACTCAGCCCTGTGACTGTGAGCCTGTGGGTGGAGGCATGCCAGCGGGCCCTGACCGCCTGACCTTCCTCTGCAGCATCGAAAAGAAGCGCACCGTTGTCCCCGCACTGGCCCGGGCCATTAAGGAGCAGGACGGCCGGGAAGTGGACTGGGAGTACTTTTACGACCTGCTGTTCACCTCGGAGAACCTGAAATTGGTGCACATCGCCTGCCACAAGAAGACCGCTCATCCTCGCAGCTGTGACCCAAGCAGGGCTTACAGACCCAAAGCCTCGCTGACGCAGCAGCAGCGGGGGCGGCGGCCTGCTCAGAAACACAGGTGATCGGTGTCGGCCACTCTTTCTACAGCTGCTCTTGGGACCCACCCCCACCCCCCCACCCCAGGGGGATCTTCTAGCAAGTGCTAGTGGTTTGTTTGGTTTTCGTTACTGTTTTTGTCTTTGTCACTCCTCACTCTGGCGCGCTGAACTCTTGTACAGCCATCTGATGACAGGACCCTTCTCAATCTGTCTTCCACACCTTCCCTCAGTTCAGCTTCCAGAGAGCACGCTTTCACGTGTGTGGTGAACCTCTGTGCGTACCTGGGGCTGTCTGCGGGCAGGGAAGAGGGAGGCTTTGAACTCAGGCCTTCCGCTCCGGGTGTCCTGGCCATCCTGAGAAGCTGGACCTGCCTCTTGTTTGGGGAAGTGAGGTGCGCATTTACTTATGGTATCAGCTTGACCCAGCCGGTCTCAACCGGAGCCACGTGCAAAGGACGATGCTTTCCTAAGTACTCTGAAAGGGATGTGTGACCCGTGGGGGAAAGATGTTTGTACCCCATAAAGGCCATGCACCAATATGCCCTGCACAGTCATTCATAGCGGCCCGCATTGGAAACCTCCCGATGCCCATGTGTGGGCGTACTGAGGTAGGGCTTAGGCTGACCACCTGGGTTTACCGTTTTTTGTAGCTAAGACATGATCAGCTCTATGGAGTGCAAAGTTGTGCTGTTTAACTGTATGCAGTCTGGGGCTGTGTTGTTGTGCTGTCTGTATGTTAGTGTGTCTGGAGATGGACTGTCTGCAGGGTAGAGCCTGTAGGGAGACAGTCTGTCTGTATGTTAGTGTGTACACTGTGGATGCTAGTGTATGGAGATGGTCTATCTGTATGTTAATGCGTGTGCATACTGTATGGACACTGTATGTTCGTGTGTGTGGACATTGTCTGTTAGTGCGTGCCTGGGGAAGAACCTGGAAGGAAAGAGCTCACACAGGGGACGACAGGAGTCCCATGGGTTAGATGACAAGTTCTCTTTTGTAAGTCATGTATTTTATAGTATTTGCATTTTGTGAAATGAATTTTATTTCCTAACAGTTTAAAATTTACTTTTTAAAGTTATGGATTTTACAATGCATGGGGTTTTAGCAAGCTATTATTTTATAATGAGAAAGCAATAAAGTTTTTTAAAACGTGCCCAAGGCTTGTACTCATTTGAGAAAACATTGGACAGAAGACTGAAAAGGAGTCAGTGTTTTTAATGAACTTGACCCAAACCACTCTGTCTGCGCGACTGACTTTCGAACGACCCATTGCTGTGCCTGCGACCTACAAGCTGTTGATCTGCTCTGGGTCACCTGGTACCTTTGGAAAAGCGCCAAGCAGGTGAGTGATAAGATACTGGATGATGAGATGCTCTGATGGGGCAAGTGATGAACAGCGGGGGCTGTACACCTGAGGGCCACGACACCCCATTCTTCTCCCAGGCCCCCAGCACTGCCTCTGGAGCTCAGCAGCTTCCTGGCCTGCGCAGTGAGGAGGGAGGATCTTCCCGTGTGGTTTAGGGAATGAGCTGTTCATTTTCTAGTCATGGACGTGTCCATCTTTGAATATGAAGCACTTGTGACGGAGATCTGAGAGAGGGCCTTAGAAGAACTCTCCTCCGTTGGTGCTGCCTGGTCCCAGGACACACGACTGTTGGGTCTCCATGAAGTGGCTCTGTGGTGCCCCGTCATCACTGGACCAGCCCTCTAACCATCTCCTTCACTGCTGTCACCGTGTGTATCATGGTCCTCTTCATGGTCATTGCTGCAGCAGGCAGGAGACCAGGAATCTAAGCTTTTGAGAAGTGTGCACACATCCTAAGTGAACTCTGAGCATGGTGCTCCTGCTTGTGAACTTGCTTAGCTACTCAGGTTTTGTTCTTTGCTGGCTTTTGGGCCTTCCCCTGGGCAAAGTGCTTGAAGAGAGCTGCCGCTAAGCAGGAGTTAATTTTGCCACCCAAACCCACAGACTTTCAGGTCAGAGGGTAAACAAGTTTATTGTGCCAACCTGGCTGATAAACACGTGGGGTTATTTGAAAGGCAGAGGGATAAATGGTTCAGTGAGCCTCACCTTTCTAGTTCTCCGGTCTCTTGCTTTGTGATGGTTGCACCAGGGTGCAGCTGCCTTAGCCAGTTCCCTGCTTCAACTTGCAAGGCTCACTTCCTGCAAGACGTCTCCAAGGAGAAGCCAGATGGACCTACCCCGATACAGCCCTGGGTGCTGGAGCAGCCGTGTGGAGACCCCTGCCAGCACTGAGATGCTTACACATTCACTGATTCGGCTTTCCTCCTGCAGTCGGCATCATAGCGTGTGTTTTGTGAGATGGAGGACTTTGTGGATTAGTGTCGGACATATGTGTTAATGTTGGACTTGTGGGCTTGGGCGGCACTGGTTTGGGATGTTTTCTTGATATGCACTTAACCTTTACATAAAACTCTCTTTTATACATGAGTTTCTGTGGATTTGTTTCTCTAATGTACCCAGACTAACACAGAGAGGTAGGCAGCTGCATCTCTTTATAAAGTGCACTGTTATGATCTGTCACTGTTAACGGGGAGAAGCACCACATGGGAAGCAAAAAACTACTGAAATCCCCATTCAACGAGGGGAGTGTTTGAATGAAGAGGTGAAACGTTTCTTATGGGGCACCCCGACTCCATTCTGCTCCCAGTTTGTCTGTACTGTGAAACATTTCCATGCCTCACTGGATGCTTGAAGGGGCTCACTTGAAGCCCTGGCTGGGGCCCTAGCTAAGCCGAGGCTGTGTAAAAGCTGGAGAGCTCTCCTGCCACACGAGATCCCAAGGGCTCTTCTCCACACAGGTGCTTGTCTTTGCGCTTTGTCACTGGGACCCGGGCTCCCCACTGCCGTCTGCTCCACCTGTCTTGGGAATGCTGGCAGCAGGAAGAGACGGCAGGGAGGCCCACCCAGCGCTTCACCCCCAAGCTGCCTCTCTTCACACACTGGCGAGAAGGTCGCATGGCTCCGCCTCTATGCCAACCGTGGTGGGCGTGAACGTCATAAGGCCTTTTTGGATGCCAACCCAGGCAGGCTGGCTGTGCCCACCGCATGTCTCCTGCCCGAGACAGCATGTGTGGCACTGCACACACAGGCCCTCGGTCCTCAAGGGCTCACTTCTCGTGCCGGCCGACGGGCACAAAAGGCTGGCACAACCTCCCAGGTGTAAAACTTTGGGCAGAGAGGACTCTCTCCACTTGGTTCCCACCAACAGCTGGGAAAGGGGCAGTTTTAGGGGCTTCATCAAGACTTCCTTAAAGATAGTTTCAAAATATATTTATTTGCCATACATGTTTTGCAACATTTCCAGGGTACACGTCAGCATCGTATGCAGCGAAACAGTTCTCGAGGAGCGGGTGCTGAATTAATCACAGGTATGATCAGAGTCTGACGGGAGCATCAATGTGCGTGTTATCAAAACTGAAGCACTGACATGAAGATCTTTTGTTACAAAGGTCTCCCTCGGCGGAAGCGAATCCCACTCGGCCACCCCCACCCCCACCCCCACCCAGCAGCAGCCGCTGGACAAGCCTGGGACCGGGGCGTTCCTGTGAGCAGCTCCTGCGGCTGTGTCCTGGGAGTGTGTGCCACTTGGCTGACGGCCACGGTCCAGGTCTGGAGCTTCTGATAAAGAACCCGTCCCCTTGGGGTCCCGTTTTTAAATGAACTCTTTAATTGTGCAGAGTGCCAGGTTGCGAACCACACGAAATATGAAAGGACTTTGTGCTTTTATCGTCTACATTTCTGCATCATCATCTTCGTCGTCGTCTTTGGCTCTGAAGTGCATCTTCCGGAACTCTCTTCTGCTCATGGAAGGATAAGCCAAAGACACTGGTGGGAGATCCTTGTGGGAGGGGGGAGGGGCGTCAGTGGGGGATCCCAACACTGCAGACCCACGAGCCTTCTTCACAATTCAACCCATCAGTCTGCTGCCGACTTGGGGTGACCCTGAGTGCTTTGGTTGGCCTCCCCTTTAGGCCCTCAGGAACGCTGCAGCTGTGGCGCCTATCTTCTGGATCAGGGCTTGCTCCCTGTCCAGGGCTGACCATGTGGGAAAAGAAGGGAGCACACAGGGTGGAAAACGAGAGACAGCGAGCGAGCGACAGCAGGAAGGGGCAGGCATTTTAAAAGGACTACTATGGCTTCCTGATGCCCCCAAGTGCACGCTGACACGCGTATGTTGCAGCACACCTGAGGGCTGGGGCACGTGACAGCACCCACCCAGCACTCTTGTCCTAATCTTAGGGCGAGTGTGTTGGGTGCTCCAACTAGCAGTGCTCCCCCTGTCTCCTCTGGGCTCGAAACGATGGCTGGCACAGTGTGGTTTTGACCTTTGATGCAGCACGACTTACAGGTGGTCCTTTCGGCACACACGGTGGGTGCTCATGGTATACACACGGAGGCGGGAGGGGGCCCACCTTACCTGCATGAGATCCACGTTCCCGAAGAAACGGTCCACGGGCATGGGCTGGTTGCTGTCCTCGTCCAGGAAGACGCTGCTGTCCATCTGAAGCAGTGGCTTCTGCTCCGCCTGGGTCTCGGGTGCCGGTTCCTCCTGGGCGGTGGGGCTGCTGTTGGCCTGTGCCGCTTCAGAGGCCGCGGCGCTGTGCTTTGGCAGAGACAGACCATCCTCAGTCTGTTCCAGGTGTCCATCCCCCAGGGGGCCTCGGCTGCCGCCGTCACCCTCCTGCTGCTCAGAAGGCCCGGCCTTGTTGCCCGGGAGCAGCTCCAGGGGCTCCTCTGGCTCAGGGGCCTTGGGTGCTAGCGTCGGCGCGGGAGCACCAGCACTTTCGGTGGCGAGCCTCTGGAGCTCCGCCTTCCTGACATTCTCTCTGTCCTGCTTGAACTTCTTGGAAGTCCGTCGGTCGGTGGCTTTGTGTGACGAGGACGGCTGCCAACAGAGACAGATGTGAAGGGAACAGCAGACAGGGCTAGGAGGAGGAGGAGGCCACCCACAGCCATCGAGTCGAACCCAAGCCAGAGCAGCCCTGTGTAGGGTCGCTAAGGCTTTCCAAGTCTTTCCAGGAGGAGAGAGCTGCCATCTTTTTCTCTCTGGTGGGTTAACTGCCTGTCTCGTGGTCACCAGCCCAACGTTTACCCAGCAGCGCGGCACAGCCAAAGGAAACAAAGCCCCCCTTTCCGAGGCACTTAGTGTTTCCCGTCACACCGTCACCAGCAGGGAGAATGCTGCAGCCGGGCCACTGTGTCGGAGCTGGCTCACTGCTCTGCCATCTCCTCCAGCGGGAAGGCCAAGTGAGGGCTTATCTAGACTGCCTCCACCACCCCTGCCGCCCCCCCAATTTTTCCTCTGGCGTTATGGCTTTGGAGGCAAATGCCCCAGAAGCGTGGGTTTATAGGATCCAGTGATCATTCGTTCTCACTGGAAAGTAGGCTGCATGGGAAAAGAGATCTCCGAGAAGCTCCTGGCACGTAGGAAGCGCTGAAGGAGTTGTTAAACCGAACACAGGACATCCTACGGAGTGGACCTGCACATGAGCAGCCCGTGCCGCCAAGGCACTGTAGCCCCTTGGCGGGCGGCGAGATATAGTTGCCGTACGCTGCCTCACCGGCCACAGCAGCTCCCTGTGCCCGGCCCTCCTTGGGCATTCAGGCCTCATCCCCAGCATCGCTCAGAGGAGCACAGCAAGGAGCAGAGCGATGGGCACAGGTCCAGATCAAAGCCTGGGCTTGCGGCATGTGCACGCTGGTGGCCAGCACCCCTGGACTGGAGAGCGAGGCTTTCTCAGAAGACTATTACCAGGCTGTCACCATGTCACCAGAGAAACTACACCCCCCCACCCCCCCAGGTACAGAAGCAACATCCATCCTACATTTTAAATAAAAATGGGCACAGGGGTCAAGACCTTGGCCCTTCCAGCAGTGCCGAGGCCACGCCAGACACACTCACCAAACACGCAGCCTTGGCTGACTTGGGGACGTCCGCTTCCGGTGCGGAGGCCAGGCCGGCTGCTGGGCACCCTCGGCTCCTCAGGCGGGCTGAAGACCGCACTCGCACTCCATCCGAGAGCTAGATCAGACCAGAGGCTTCGTCAGGGAAGGCTCTCTGGAAAGAAACCCCAGCTCGGAGATGACGATGTCCTTACTCCGGGTGGGGCGGGAAGCTGAGCGACCCAAGAGGACCCCAGTAGCTCGGAGACCAGCCAAGGCCCGCAGTTTTCATCACCTTTATGGAGAGGCTCCTCCGCCCGAAATGCGCAAGCTCAAGCCAAGCTGCCTTTGGCGCTCAAACACAGGCGGTGTTCTCCCCGGGGTGATGGAGACGTGGGCAGGACCCATGCCCCCTGTGTGTACGTTTCTAGGGGCTCCCGGCTGGGAGTCTGTGTTGCTGGGGTCCTGGCTCACAATGACACCAGGTGACAGAGTAGACCAGATCCCATGGGGTTTTCTAGGCTGTCGCCAACTGGGGCAGCTCTCTGCAGCAGTGGCCCACAGAGCTGCTGGTCTGCAGAGCCAATCTTTCAGTCAGCAGCTGCATGCTTACCCAAGGCATCACCAGGGCTCCTACTTGTGAGTTAACAGGTCTTAAGCCAAAGGGGCTTAGAGGAGTGGTTCTCAACCTTCCTAATGCCACGACCCTTTCATACAGTTCCTTACGTGGTGGTGACCCCCCCAACCATAAAAGTATTTTCATCACTGTCATTTTCCTACTGTTATGAATCGGGCGACCCCTGTGAAAGGGTGGTTTGACCCCCCAAGGGGTCGCGGCCCACAGGTTGAGAACCGCTGGATTAGACAGTGCGTTGCACAGACCCTGCATCTGAGAGCTCTTAAATGTGTACTCGTGTCCAAGTCCTTGACAAAAGTAAAATGACAAGCAAGAGCCAACCTCTCCCATCTCTCTTCCCTTGAATTCTAGGGGGACATTCTTAATTCATTAATTTAAAGCAGTTAAGTTCTCCCTGGTAAGTCGCAACACACTGACCCATCTCTACTGTATTCTGAATACAAAGGAAATTTTCTTAAAACAAGGAACTGAAATAAGAACATTCAAAAATTAATGTGAAGTTTTGGTTTACAGAACAGTTGCAGGAATCCTTTTGAAAAATCCCCACACCCTCTTCCCCCAGCGTCCCCTAATGTAATCCTAGTGCCAGAATTAAGCTCAGAAAGGAACCTGCGTCTAACACCATGGGTGGCATGACAGAAGAGTGAAGTGGGATCTATGCTTCCCTGTGTCCTCCTCTCTCCTAGGGGTCCGTACAGGACCCTCTATTGCTCCCTGAAAACCAAACATTTATAAGCGCAACTCAGAACTTGGGAGAAGAGATAAAGGGAGTAGCACACACACGAAACCTATTAGGCAGTTCTCTCCTGCAAGCAGACTGCTTGGAAACGGCGAGGCTGGAGCACCAAAGGCTAACCCATGGGGCTGTGAGAGATCCACCTTGGGCCCCGTCGCAAGATGTACAAACATAAAATAGTCACGGCTGTTTCAACCCAGTGTTGCAGCCATGCGTCAGCCCGTCTCCTTGAGGAGCTTCCTCTTTTCTGCTGCCCCTCCACTTTACCAAGCACGGCGTCCTTCCCCAAATAACATTTTCAAAGTAAATGAAGTCTTGCCATCCTTGCTTCTAAGGAGCATCCTGGCGGCACTTGGCTCATTCTTCTGGCAGTCCATGGTGTATGTAATACTCTTTGCCAGCAACAGGAATTCAAAATGCCCAGGAGTCTCCTGTCTTCCTAATACACTAGCCACTCGACAATACAATGGCTTGGATTGGGCACGCTGCAATGCAGTGGTTTATTTCATGTGGCTCTTCTCGCCAGAGCCTTTGCTCTTTCCCCCAGATGACGTTCGTTTCCCAAAGGGTTTGGGTAAGGTGGTGGAGCATATACTAATCGGAACATGTGTTTCAGCTGTCAGTGACTCATAATAGGGCTAATTGTGACGGCTAGCCTGCTGGTATACAGTCAACAGTCTCGGAAGCAGGAGGTGTCGGGAATCTTGCCACTAGCTTGAGATGAGTGCCAGGAGGCGAGCCCATCCTTTGGGCCGACATCCCTGTGCAGTTGAGCCTCCTTGGTCCAGGCGATAGCTGTGACACCAGCCGACTGGCAGAGGTGGGTCAACAGCAGAATCAGGAACCGGAGGCTGAGGCCTCTAGAGCCGTGGACTTCCCAGCCCACAGAGCAAGCAGCGCCGAGTGCTTTGGGACTGGACTTTGGCTTGTGCAGTGGGGTGCTTATGGGCATTTAATTGGGGGAGCTGAGTTTGCCGATCAGTGGAAGGGGAGCTGCCTTTGGGTTGAGGCGTTCAGTGAAGTGGCATGCCCTTTGTGCATTTATTAGCAGCCCTAATGGAGCTTTGAAGCACTGCCTGAGCAGGGCAGAGGTCAGGCCAAGAGGCTGAGAGCTGCCTGAGGGCACAGCAGAGAAGAAACTGTCCTGACTGAACAACTGTATCCTGAACATTTCTCACTGGAATTACAACCGGTTCAATGCTTTAGTAAACTTCATAACTGTGAGCATCATCTGTAAGTGCTGTATGGTCACTGCAATGCATTATGGAACCTAGCAGGAAAGTATAGCGTGCTGTGGGAGACGGGGCAATTGGTGGGAAGTGTATGGGACTCAATGCAATGTTCCAGACTCATAGAAGCTTGGAGTTCTGTAAGAGAAAGTAGAAAAGGGTATGTTCTGGAAGTAAAACATTTAATTCTCAAGTGTTTACTTTATTACCTGTAATGGCTGACAAAGGAATGTAAGAAATGTGCTGGAGCTGAGGGAAGAAAAGCTCTTGGGGCAAAAGCCGTAAGTCAGGTGATTAATAGGCTTCCCTGTCCCAGAAGCTCAAGGCCACGTGCACATAAATGGATGCACAGTATGGGGTGAAGAGGGAAATTGGGAGTATTAAAGAACGTAAGAGTAGGCTTTGTTGCTTTCCTGCTAGATGGCCGCTTGTTTAACTTCAAGCCTTTAAGACCCCAGGCACTGTATCTTGTAATAGCTGGGCACTATCAACTTTCTTCACCACATTAGCTTATGCATCCATTTTGTCACTAGCTTTCGATCATGTCAGAAAGGTGCAAGCATTACAGAATGCCAGGTTATTAGAACAAAGTGTTCTTTCGTTGAGGGAGGACTTGAGTAGAGGCCAATGTCTGTCTGCTACCTTAAAATTTAACCTATAAATACATGTAGACTTTTATTCCTATCATTACATATTAACATATTTACATATGTACATGCCTGTTTATACCTCTATACATATCTTTTACCTCCTAGTTCTTTCCTCTATTTCCTTTTACTTTCCTCCTGTCCGACGATCATGTTTGACTTCGACTCTTTGTACTTCCTCTCTGCTACACTGCACTTTATCAAATCCCACCAGGCACAAGGTGTCGATGGGATCAGGTATCAGAAGACCCCATACAAACAACCATTTGCATACAAACGAGGGGTTCGGAATGGAAACCTAAAGCCCACCTGTAGACAATTGGACATCCCCTCACAGAAGGGAAGGGCCAGTCAGGGTGCAGTACAGCACCGAGGAAACACACAACATTCCTCTAGTTCTTTAATGGCCCCCCCACCCCCCCGCCTCATCCATCATGACCCCAGTTCTATCTTACAAATCTGGCTAGACCAGAGCATGTACACTGCTACAGAATCCAGGACAGATAAACCCCTCAGGACCGATGAGATTAGTGATGCCATGAGGGTAGAGGGAAGATCGGGGAGATAGAAGGAAAAGATGGCAATGATGGATGCACAACCGCCGCCCCCCTGGGGGGCACAAAAAGAAATGTGGGAGAAGGGAGACAGTGAACGGCATAAGATATGAAAATAAAAATAATCTATAAGTTATCAATATGTACACAACACTAGTGTTATGAGTTTTTAAGATATTAATGAAAAATATTAAATGCCTGACAAAAAGTAATAAAACTATCATTAAAAATAAAAATATAAAAGACTTTAAAAGGTTATGTGTTTGAAGATTGAATGAATACTGAATGTTTCTCCTATCTGGTATTGTAAAATAGGCCTACGTGTTTGATGAAAATCAGTTATGACTATCATGATTATAAAGAGCACGCAGGCCTGCATTAGCCTTTACTTTATTGAATATATTAGAAGGAGGGTTAGGAACTGCTGGAAAGAACAGCCTTTCTTTTCAGACAGACCTCTATAAAGAATTGAGGGATAAGGTAGAAACCCGAGTCTCACCTGGAACTGAACAAATGTAACCTAAGCATTTCTCTCCTGAACTGTATCCTGTTGACTTCCATACTAAACTCCCAACTGTGGGCATCACCTGCGAGTTCTGAGTGGCCACTGCCATGAGATACAGAATTCAGCAGACAAAGAAGGTGGTGCTGTGGGAGGCAGAACATACACCTCCGTGTGGTCTTGTGTAGCAGAGAGGCCCCAAGCCATCTGTCCTTTGATTTCTTGATTGCTGCTTCCATGGGTGTTCATTGTGGAACCAAGTAAAATGAGCTCCTTGATAGCTCCAATCTTTTCTCCATGTATCATGAGGTCCAGGTGGCTTATTGGTCCAGCTGTGAGGATTTCTGCTTTCCTTCTGTTGAGGTCTCATCCATGTTGAAGGCTGAACCCTTTGATCTTCATGAGTAAGCACTGCAAGTCCTCTTTGCTTTTGGCAAGCATGGTCGTATCAACTGCAAACTGCAGGTTATTAACGGGTCTTTCTCCAGTCCTAATAATGAATTGTGTTGTAATTAAGAGTGTTTAAATCATTTCTCTTCTTCTAGTTAATTAAAAAAATAAATTTCACACAATAAAATGTATTGTATATACAAATGTACCACGCAGAACCGTATTTCTTGGTAGCAGCACAAGGGAGGAGTGGTGGTGGAAGGATGCAGAACCATCTTGGGGATAATACTCCGTTGCTGTGAAGTTGATTGGACCCCAGGCATCTACATCAGAGTGGACTTGTGCTCCAAGGCTTTTCCAATGACTGGTTTTTCAGTAGAGGGTCAGAATCGTTTCACTGGTGTTCAGCTGGTGTCAAACAGGCTGGTTCTGATGTGCTCTGATGTAAGCATAACCACTCAACAAGGCAAATAAGAATAGCTAATGAGTAGGAGGCCTGGTAGGGCATGATCAAGGGTTATCAAGAGGAATTACTGAAACCCAAATGAAGACTGAGCATGATAGTGGGACAAGAGGAATGTCAAAGGAAATAGAGGAAAGAGCTAGGAGGCAAAGGGCATTTATAGAGGTCTAAATAAAGGCATGTACATATGCAAATATATTTTTTATATGAGGATGGGGAAATAGATCTATGTGCATATATTTATAAGTTTAGTATTAAGGTAGCAGATGGACATTTGGCCTCCACTCAAGTACTCCCTCAATGCAAGAATACTTTGTTCTATTAAACTGGCATTCCATGATGCTCACCTTCCCGACAATCGCTGATGACAAAGCGGGTGCATAAGCAAATGTGGTGAAGAAAGCTGATGGTGCCCGGCTATCAAAAGAGATATTGTCTGGGGTCTTAAA